AAGAGAGTGAAAAGTAAATTGTGCCTACTTATTTATGTTGATGAATGGTATTCTAAACAATAACTTAAGACCGCTCTAAAAATACATTTTTGAATTGGAGAGACTCCTGGAGTTTATATTGTTATGCATGTATCCCAGTGGAGGCAGGAAGACCACTGAGATTTGAAGCTGACTAGAGAGGTACTGACTGAGGAAAAAGGTTTGAACTAGCCGTAGCGTGGCTAGTTTAGGTCGTGTGTGCCTCCTTTTGTAGCCTACTCTGACTTGAAGCTCAAGCTAGCCTCCAGCCTCAGCCCCCAGAGTGCTGCTTGAGCCACTGCTCCTAGCAGGCTTTTGGTACATATATAGCTGTCTGAGGTTTTGTTCTCAGCAAGGGTAAGCCTTAACTATAACTTGGAACAGCTGATACTCCTGAGTGTCTGTACACCGCTGTTTCCTGTGTCAGCTTGTTTTGCTCACTTGACCCAGTCAGACTCAGGAGGGAAGGCTAGGGCACTTACATGTGTTTATGAGGCAGGATCTTGATGGGCAGGTCTTGAACTCCTGGCCTGGGCATGCTCATTTAGCTTTAGCCTCCCCAGTGGTTGGGAGTAGGCATATCCCATCATGCCCTTCTCTAAGCATTTCTTTTCTAATGAGACTTGGTGTTTCTTCTATCAGACATATTTCATATGTAATGGGTGGTGCTGTGGAAAGACTGGTTCTTGACATCAGTCATAACGGTTTCAACTCTTGGATACTTCTAACTAACCATAGATGAACTTTTCTGAATTTCACTTTTCTCACCTGCAAAAGGAGATAATACCTGCTTTGGAGGTTAGGTATGAGACTCCGAAATACAACTTTAATTTTATGACCTGGACCCATCATAAGCATTCAACAAATTCTTATTTATCACGATTTGATTTTTATCCCTATGTACACATTTTGTGGTTAATTTTTACTATTTGAAAAGAAAAAATAAGTCCAAAATGTGATACATTACTTCCCTGCTTTATTTGTGCTTTTGGGTTTTTTTTTTTTTTTTTTTTTTTTTTGGTTTTTCGAGACAGGGTTTCTCTGTGTAGCTTTGCGCCTTTCCTGGAACTCGCTTTGGAGATCAGGCTGGCCTCGAACTCACAGAGATCCGCCTGGCTCTGCCTCCCGAGTGCTGGGATTAAAGGCGTGCGCCACCACCGCCCGGCTGCTTTTGGGGTTTTTGAGGCAGGGTCTCTGTAGCTCTGGCTCTCTTGGAACTCTGTAGACAGACACCCCACCCCCCACCCCCCAAGGGGGAGTAGTGGTTTAGGTGTGTGCCAGCAGGCCTGGCTGTATTTTCTACTTTAAAACAAGACCTTGAGCATAAATCAGATAGTCAAATTTTCTAAAGGACTGTTTACTAAAAGAAGGCCTTATCAGAAGGGTCCCTGAGGTTGGTTGTGTTGGCTTGAGACCCACCCTCCTGAGTGGCACTTTTCTTCAGTCTCATGTGTAGACGGCTCCTTTCTATTACCTTCCTTCCACCTCCCTAAACTGGTGTACTTCAAGTGAAACAATCGATCTTAGACTGCATAGAGTAAAAAGTTTATTCTAGATACTGAATTTAGGTACTAATTTTTGGTTTTGTTTGTTTTTCTAGACAGGGTTTCTCTGTGTAGCCCTGGATGTTCTGGAACTCGCCCTATAGACTAGGCTGGCCTCTGCCTTCCAAGTGCTGGGGTAAAAGTGTGCACTAGCAAGACTGGCTCTAACTAGTTATCAACACCTTATATTTAGCATATTTTGTTTGTTTGTTCTGTTGTTTCCACACCTGGTTTATGTGGCGCTGGGGAGCAGCCCTGGGTTTCATTTACTGTGGATGACAATGACCAATTTGGCTGTGTCTCCAGCTTCACAGGTATTCCTTACATTCAGTGCCAGATGTTAGATGAAGTCCTGAAAGACACGAAGAGTCTTCACAGCTAGTACATGAGTTCTAAATGAGAACGAAAGCAGTGAAGAGTACCGTGATTGACAGTACTGTGATTCGGGAAGATGGTGTTGAGGAAGGATAAAACAGTCTTAGGAAGAACACTTCAAGTCTAGACTCGGAGATGTAAACCCAAATAAGTCTGAAGAAGAGTTATATTACAGCTAGACCATACAGAAAACAGGAGTGTGTGCGTGTTTGATGGAGAGACCAGTGAGCTTAATCAGTTGGGGTTACTTCCAGGGTTGTGAATAAAAGGCTGTCTACAGGAGCACACTCAGTGTGCCGTGGTGGCTCCACTACTGAGGAAAATGTTAGAGTGAAATTGAAGAGACTGTTGCAGTCATCTAGGTGAAGCATGAGAGTGGCCTGGCTGGGTTCGTGGTCCCTAGGTAAAGAGGTGTTACAGTTCTAGGTCTAAAACATCAAATTTGACAACTTTCCCATAAGATATGGGAAAACAGAGCAACGACTGATCTTTACTTGGTAAATGTGGTTCCTTTGGTTGATTTGGTGTGATTTTGGCTCTGTGATGGATGAGGTCAAAGAACTGGGTCTGCCCTTGCTGAGCTGATTGGGGACTATTTTTAATGACATATCTGGACCTCTTGTTGCCATGGGCAGCTAATATGCCAAGAGAGCAGCCTTTGCCAGGTTGTAGAGGAGCTTCCTCATGACATTTGTGGAATGATATTCTTTACTACAATATGTGTGGTGTTTGACAACTATTCATTTCTTAGATTTCAGGAAAAGATCTACGTTTAAAGCTGACTTGGGAGTACCAAGGGCTGAAATGTTCTAATGGGTCCTGAAAAAAGTTCTTCTTATTTTTTAAGTTCTTCCATGTAGCTTACTTAGGGTAGAGTTGGCTAGACTTTGATATAACTTTCCTTTTTCCCTTGTGTTGATCACAGGTACATAACAAAGTTTCCCTGGGCTGGAATTCATTTTGTGGTTCCGACTGGCCTTAAACCTGCAGCACCCTCCTGCCTCGGCCTCCTTAGTGCTGGCATTGTAGGTGTGGGCTACTCTGCCTGCCAAGTGCCTCCTGTTTTCTTTTTACTTGCATTGTGGTTATTTATGGTGAAGTCTGGCTTTGGTCAGTGAAGGATTTCTTACATTATTCAGCCTTCTTTCTCTGCCTTTTTATAGTAGGAAATGTTACTTACAGTTACTGTTTTTGGTGGCCTATTGTGTTAGTAAGCTTTCCATTACTGTAACAAAATGCCTGGAGTTATTAACTTAGTAAGTGTAAATTAACTTACAAAGTTTTATTTTGGCCTAGAGTTTTGAGATTTCATGCACACTTACATGTACATGCACACTCACCCATGCAGAGGGTGTGGAGAGGGAGGAGAAGGGAAGGACTGATACTAAAAGTGTGCTCTCTACCAGCGGTCCTCTTGTTGCTCTTCTAGGGGACGTGGCTCGATTCCCAGCACCCACGTGGCAGCTCACAACTGGCTGCATGGCACTCCAGTCTCAGGGAATGCAGTGTCTCTGGCCTCTAAACAACAGGCACACACCCAGTACATAGACTGTGTGCAGACCAAGCACCCATACACCTAAACTAAACTACCAAAACCAGCTTTTGCTTTTAGTTTAGTGAATGAGATTATAACTCCATAGACCTGAACGAATCTAAACATGGTCCAGAATATGGTCACAGAGTGAAAATTGTTAGACTTGTCTCCACTGCAGGGGTTTGTGTCTTCTGGTAGAGTACACTGTTAGTGTCAGGTCTACCCCCCCCATCTGTCTCTGTTTCTCTCTCTCTCTCTCTCTCTCTCTCTCTCTCTCTCTCTCTCTCTCTCTCTCTCTCTCTCGTGTGTGTGTGTGTGTGTGTGTGTGTGTGTGTGTGTGTGTGTGTGTGTTTCCCCATGTCCGACTGCAAGGGTTTATATCTTCTTTCAGTCCTTGTTGAGCTGTATTGATACTCACATATTGAGATGGCTGGTAAATTAAAGCATGTTTTATAGACAGCAGGGTCTGTTAATTTCTTCCATAATTATGATTTCATCTCCAAAAATAGCTAAAAATCTGATTCCATTGAGTTCAAAATGCAACATTAGGAAAAATGTTCTGTCTTCATTTACTGTCTGTATAACCCATGTGTTTAGTTTGTGTCTGAAATTTCTCGTTCCTATGTGCACAGGTCTTGTCATAGCTATGGGAGGTAAAATTCTGTGACTCTGGGTTCCTACAGTTTGGCTGTCTAAGAGGAGTGTCAGATTAGTTTCCCTTATCCAAAACTGAATTCAGAATACTCTGTTCAAAGCAGCTTCCTGTTCTCAGTTGATGATAGACCCAGCATTGGTTTTATTTAGACTAAAATAAAAAAAAAATCTTTGCAAGATTTAATTGTGTGTGCATGCGTGTGTGTGTGTGTGTGTGTGTGTGTGTGTGTGTGTGTGTGTCTGTCTGTCTGTCTGTCTGTCTGTGTCTATGAGTGTCTGCCATGAATATGTGTGTACCCGAAGAGGCTAGAAGAGGGTGTTGGATCCTCTGGAGTGGCAGTTATTAGTCACTGGCTGTGGGTGCTTATTCTAGTTTGTTCTTTGTTGCTGTGATAAAAAAAAAAAACAAAAAACCATGACCGAAGCAACTCAGAGGGGAAAAGAATTATTTGGTTTACAAGTTAGAGTCTATCTTCTAGGAAAGCTGAGGCAGGAACCTGGAGGCAGAAACTGAAACAGAGACCGTGGAAGAATGCTCTTTACTGGCTTGCTCAGCCTGCTCTCTTACATAATCCAGGACCACCTGCCTAGGGATGGCACTGCCCACATCACTACTGAGCCCTCCCACATTAATCATTAATGAAGAAATGCTCCACAGGCTTGCCTACAGACCAATCTGATGGGTGGCATTTTCTCAGTTGAGCTTTCTTCTTCCCAGATGACACTAGCTTGTGTCAAATTTACAGAAACTAGCCAGCACAGTGTCCTATAGACAAAAATTTGGACACCTTAGAAGTCTTTCTCTGTATCCATTGTGTCAAGCAACCCATTAGTTCTGTCTTTTTTTTTTTTTTTTTTTTTTAACAGATCCTGCCTCAAGTTTATTTGTAAAAACAGCATGGGGTCCTGATCATCTGCAAATAGTGTGTAGGTGTGTCACACCAGTCCATCTGTCTGGCAGACAGAAACCTTTTCTATGGGTTTCTGGGTACCTTTGGGAGCCTGAGCTGGAACTGAGGCCTCTGCCTTGGTTTGAGCCTTGGGCTTTGGCTGGCAGAGCCTACGACCCTTGGCCATGTAGCTTCTAATCTGCTTCCCGAGCTTGGGGTGAGCGATGAAAGCGAGATGGCTGAGCTTGTGGCTGGGGCCCTTTGGCATCTTGGGCTTAACCGACTTGGGCTTCACAAGGGCCTTGATGGCCTCTGCACGCGCACTCACTGCCTTTGCGTTGTTGGCCTGCATCTTCTTCAGGCCTTTCTTGTTGTGCTTCTTGGCAAAGTGCATGTTCCTCAGGAACTTGGGGTCCACCCCCGTAAGAGATTCGTATCTTTGTGACCGGGGTTTCTTGATACCATTTCTGTGCCATTTTCGAGATTGGTTGTGTGTGGTGTGGTTCTTGGACTTGGCCATGTCGGAATGGTAACCTGCGGCTCCCGAAGCGCCTGGGACCGGAAGAGAAAGAGAGTAGTTCTGTCTTTGAAACATGACTTTCTGTGTATTCCCCTTGTTCTTGTGCCTTAGACTTCCTATTTTTTCCTTTTCCACTCCTTGCCTTTTCCCCCTTTACAGCCCCACTGGCAGGCACATCTGCATCATAGTTGCATCACAGTACAGATTTCAGCTGTCTCTCCTTATCAGCTACCTGGCACCTCATCTCCTTTACAGTCCTGTAGCTGGAAGTTTCTCTGGTCCTGCCCGGCTCTGTGGTCGGACGAATCCCTCCCACGTGTGTCCCTCAGCTTCTTGGTCCCAAGTAAACACACAGAGGCTTATATCATTTACAAACTGTATGGCCTGTTGGCTCAGGCTCCTCACTGGCTCGCTCCTACAACTTAACTCAGCCCATTTCTGTGCATCTGTGCTTTACCACGTGGCTTCGTGGCTTCCCAGTGCTTTCACATCTTCGTTCTCCTGGTGGCGGCTCGCAGAGTCTGCCCCGCTCTCCTTTTCTTCTCTCTCCAGTCGGAATGTACCGCCTCACCTTGTTCTGCCTCTCCATTGGCCTAACAGCTTTATTTATCAACCAGTCAGAGCAGCGCATGTTCACAGCGGATAGAAAGACATCCCACAGCTGTAGCATGAATCTTTTTTTTTAAATTTTATTTGTTTGTTTGTTTGTTTATTTATTTATGGTTTTTCGAGACAGGGTTTCTCTGTGTAGCTTTGCGCCTTTCCTGGATCTCACTCTGTAGCCCAGGCTAGCCTCGAACTCACAGAGATCTGCCTGGCTCTGCCTCCCGAGTGCTGGGATTAAAGGCGTGCGCCACCACCGCCCGGCTGTAGCATGAATCTTAAAAGTTCTTATTAATAAAAACAAACCTGAGGCCAGGTATTGGGGTGAATGCTGGAAGATCAGAGAAGCAGAACAAGCCACAGCTACCTCACCTTGCCAGTTCCTCAGCTGATCCTGTTTCCTCAGACTGGAAACCTCTAAGTCCTTATCCAAAATAGGTCTCAGCTGAACTGGTGCTCAAAAGCCTAAAAGCTTAACCAGCCAAAATCTTAGCCAGCCAAATGCTTCTAGTTCCTGGTCTTCATGCCTTATATACCTTTCTGCTATCTGCTATTATCCTGGGATTAAAGGCTGGCTTTCTGGGATTAAAGGCGTGAGTCACCATGCTTGGCTATATCCTTGAACACATGGATTTCTACCTCTGGAATGCTAGGATTAAAGGCGTGTGCTACCACTGCCTATCCTCTATGTTTAATATTGTGGCTGTCCTGTTCTCTGACCCCAGATAAGTTTATTCGGGTGCACAATATTTTTGGGGAACATAATACTACCACACACAGCAGAGCCCTTTCTATGGCTGCAAGCCTCTCCCTGACCTAGCCTACCCTGTGGATAGCCTCTGACTCTTCCTTCTGCTCCCTTACCCTATTCTAGTTACACTGAATTCTAGTTTCCTTTCCATTTCCATTATTCTAGGTGTGTTTCTGACCTATGCCCTTTGTACTGGCTGGCTCCTCTTTATGGATACTTGCATCTAATACCCAGAACCTAGGTCCTTCTCATCTCAAATCTCTGTCAGTTAGAGGTGTATCCTCCTGCTTAAAGTCAGAACATTTCATCTTCTCCTTACCCTGTGCTACGTTTTTCTTTTTTCATAATTGTTTTCTGTCAGAACATGAATTAGCAGGACATGCTACAGTATAAATTTATTTATTTGCAACCAGGATTTGCTATGTAGCTGGCCTCACACCTCAAGTCCTCCCACTTCAGCTGTCTAAATTCTGGGCCTACTGCAGGCATGTACCGCTACACCTCACTCTAGAATATAAACTTGTTGTAAAGAGAGAAACCTTCAGTAACATTTCCCACATTATAGCAACTGTTCTAAGTGTAAATTGAACCCTTAAATCTTGCATTTTTTTTTTTTTAATTTGAGGAGCTGGGTATGGTGGTGTACGCCTTTACTTATTTATTTTTATGTGCATTAGTGTTATGTGCATTGATGTCAGGTCCCCTGGAACTGGAATTACAGATAGTTGTGAGCTGCCATGTGGGTGGGTGCTGCGAATTGAACCTGGGTCCTCTGGAAGAACAGTCAGTGCTCTTAACCACGGAGCCATCTCTCCAGCCCCCAGTGTTTGCCTTTAATCTCAGCACTTAGGGAGCAGAGGCAGGAGAATCTGAGTTCAAAATCTGGTCTACATAGGAAACTCCAAGACAGCCAAGGTGCACAAAAACAAAACAAAACAAAACAAACAACATACACACAACAACAACAACAAAACAAAATAAAATTGGGAGAGTTGGGCCCATGAGATAGCTCAGTGTGTAAACATGATTGTTTTCCAAGCCTAGAACCTGAGTTTGATCCCTGGAACCCATGTAAAGGAACTCATGTAAAGGTGGAAGGAGAAACCCCAAAGGTGTCCCCTTCTCTCCGTATGAGCTCTGTGGCACATCTGTGCCCAAGAACACACACTGTCTTTGTTAGAGTTTCTAGTGCTGTGATGAAACACCGTGACCAAAGCAATCCGGAGAGGAAAGGGTTTATTCAGCTTACATTTCTACATCACAGTTCATCATTGAAGGAAGTTGGGACAGAAACTCAAACAGGGCAGGGACCTGGAGGCAGGAGCTGATGCAGAAGCATACTGCTTACTGGCTTGTTCCTCATGGCTTGCTTAGCCTGCTTTCTTATAGAACCCAGGGGTGGCACCACCCACTATGGGCTAGACCTTTCCCCATCAATCATTAAGAAAATGCCCTACAGCCAGATCTTACATGTGGGAGACCAGCTCCCACATTTATTTACCCCAGGGACTCTCAAGGAGAGAGAGATAAGAGACTTGGATAGAAGGATAGATGGGAGAGAAACAGAAACTCAGGATAGCCTCGGGAGGGCCTGGATCCTAACCCACCAGCCCAGAACTTTATTCCAAAGGGCTTTTTATAACAATGCCAAGGGGTGAGGCAAGAAGACCTCCCCCTGCTAGATACAGCCAAGTGTAGACCCTTCCAAACACCTGGCACTCAGGCCTGTGGACCAATCATCCTCTTATGCAGGCCTGCTGGGTAAAGCCACTAGAAACCTTGGTGGGCTCCAACACTTACGGAGGCATTTTCTCAATGAGAAATAATTTTCAGATAATTATTTCAGATAATTCTAGCTTGTATCAGGTTGACATAAAACTAGCCAGCACACACACACTGTACACACACACAATAATAAAGTTTAAAAATGAGGGGGAGGGATTGAGATAGGAGGCTTACTAGTTCCATGCCATACTGACCTGTATAGTGAGTCACCATATTTTTTTTAATAAATAAAATAAAACTAGAGATGGCACTGGGATGAAAGTGATTGCCAGGGCTCTGGATGTCATCCTTAGCACTGTACAAACTAAAAACTTAGGATAGCACAACATTAGCTCTTGGGTCTGCTTTTATCTGAGACAAATAAAATTGCAGGGAACGTTTACTTCTCTGATAATATGATGAATTGATATTGTAACCAGGATTAGAATTCCGGCATTCCCTTTGCATTGTGTTACTCTTCCAGCTGCGCCACATTAGCTTTTTGTACTTGGCAGTTACCAAGTCTTACCTAAGTGGATTGCTGGCTGAGTGCTCACCATTTCAGTTGTCAGCCTGCTGGTAATGCTTGGCTTTCTTGAAATCAGCATGCTTTCCATACCCCATTTCCTACAGTCTACCTGACCTCGAGGGGCTTTAGGGATGGAGGACCGGAGGGAGGGCTCATCGGTTAAGAGGACTTGTTGCTCTTTACGGAGGACCTGGGTTCAGTTCCCAGCATTCACGTGGTGACTCACAACCATCCCTAGCTCCCGGTTCAGGTGATCTGAGACCCTCTTCAGAACCCCTTGGGCACCATGCACATACATGGTGTGCAGGCATACATGCAGGCAAAACACTCAGAAACATAAAATAAGTAAATCTTCTAAAAACACAAAACTATGGGGAGATGTGGAAGGGTCTTAGCTTACTTAACAGCAACATAAAAAGAGCACTTGCGTGTAATCATTGGACACAAATGGGACTTCAGCATCTGTGTGTGAGCATGCTTGTGACTCAGGCTGCAAGGGGAGCAAAGACTGGAGAATCGGGGGAACTTTCTTACACCAGACTAGCAGAGAAAGAGCAAACCCCGGGTTCAGGAAGAAGGACGCTGCTGCCTCAGAAGAATAGGTAGTCACAGAGACACATACATACAAATAAGCAGTAAAACCCCCAAACCAAAGGGGGGGGGGGAGGAAAGAGATGGGGAGGGAGAGAGGGAGAGAGGAAGGAGAGAGGGAGAGAGGGAGAGAGACAGAGACCCCGTCAAACAGAAACTTAAAATACACTTATTTGTTTGTTTTTGGTTGGTGGGTTTTGTTGTTGTTGTTTGTTTTAAGACAGGTTCTCATGTAGCTTGGGCAGACAATGAACTCCCTCTGTAGCTGAAGGCGACCTTGAATTCCTGGTCTTTCTGTCACCACTTCCTGAGTTCTGGCATTCGGATGTGTGCCACCACACCTAGTTTATGTAGTGCTAGGGATTAAACTCAGAGCTAAATGTATGCTAGGCAACTTCATGAATGTTACTAACTGAGCTACATTTTCAGCCCTGAAATACACTCTAAAGCTACTAGAATTATCTCTAAATATAGGCATGTCTCTTGTACATACATTTCCTTATTCTGTCTTAAAAACAAAACTCTCGTCTATTTTTTCTTAATATTTTATTTTTTTCTAATTATAAAGAAAGGCATACAGATTACTTAAAAATCGGGAAGTTGTATTTCCCAATGAAGCAGAAAATGAAACTTAGGATTATTAAGATACAAAAGGGCTCATGTTTTGTGTAATTGTTCCTGGGTTTTGTTTTTTTTCTTTCTATTTTTTTGGTGTGTGTTTTTGTGTATTGTGTGTGTTGTATGTACTTTTAAAATGGAGTGTACAGTGTGCCTTTGAGTGTCTGTGTGCATGCTTGTGTGTTATATGTACATTTTTATGTAGTGCATGTATGTACACACATGTTGAGGCAAGAGGTTCAGGGGCTGTCTCCTGTATTGCTCTCACTGTGCCTTTATTTTCTGAGCTGGAAACTCACTGAACCAAAGCTCATGAGCTTCCTCCTGTCTTCCCCCAGTGCTGTGTTTACGGGTGCTGGGCCTGGCTTTTTATGTGTGCTCTGGGGATCCAGACTCAGGCTCATGTCCTATCCCTAGTCTTTCAATTTAGTCTTAAATACTAACAGATTTTATTAGAGAAGTCATGGAAAACATGAAAGTAAAAAAATGCCATCCATAATCTTCATTATCTGGGATTAACTACCATTAGTATTTGGATGGATTTGATTTTTGTTTTCATATGTCAATAATTACATTAAAATTTAGGCAATAGTATTTTAGTTTTTTTTTTTTTTTCATTAAGAATTATATTGGGAGCATTTGCCACTATCATTATGGGATCTTAAAAATATGAAAGATGAGGCTTTATTAGATTATTAAAAAAACACTTAAGGGGATTTAAGCAGTAAATTTAAGATTTTATTTAAGAATGATTTGGGGGATGGGGCTGGAGAGATGGCTCAGCAGTTAGGAGCATTGGCTGCTCTTCAGAGGACCCAGGTTCAATTCCTAGCACCTCAACATGGCAGCTCAAGCTGTCTCTAACTTCCAGGGCATCTGACACGCTCACACAGACATACATACAGGCAAAACCACCAATGCACATAAAATTAAAAAATAAATAAAAAAAATGCTTTGGGGACTAGGAGGGACAGAGCTCTGCCATCATACAGCCGGACTTCAGGGTTCTGCTGTTTTTCTCTGTACTGTCTTCTGCTCCCTGGTCTAATGCCCTGTCATGGTGATTTGTTTACTTGATCATTCCAGCTTCTGCTGTTGTAGTGTGAACTGCTGACTACTTCTGCTTCACTTGACAATTTCTGCTTTCTACTGTCTGCTGTTTATTCTTGACTATCTGGCTTCCCAATTTCACTGTATCTTGACTTGAACTCAAGTCCTTTTTGTGTATTTCAGCCCTTACCCATGAAACCATCTATTTAATAATGTCTTATATTCAGATATGACAAGAGAAAAAGAAAACCTGTCTGGGTTGCACAGCCCTGTTGGGTCCTACCTAGGCAGTCCTGGGCTTAAGTGATCTTAAAGCAAATGCCCATTTGTGTGCTCACTGTCCAGAGTACAGAGGTCCTAGTCAGTTGTACAAGTACTGGGCTTGCTTCTTGTCTAGTGTATGTGGTTTTAGCTGTAATACATTATTAGATGTATAATTAATATTGTAAAACGCTTCTATCAATTTTCATTCTTAAAAATAGCACTACAACTCGGAAACAAGAAAAATAAACATTGAATAAATATTTTTGGTTAAGAGTGAAATAAATTGAAGCAGTTGGATTCTTGTAATTGGTATTTAAAAGACAAAATGCACTATGAGTTCAAAACAGTGAAAGCTAGAAAATTTGCTGTCTGATTAAAATATGCTTTGATGCTTTTAAGGTATATGTGATAGCTCAAATGAAGTAAACCATCTATTCTTTTACTTATATATTGCTGGTTATTTAACATTGTCCCTCATTACATAAGTTTTGATTCCACTGGAAAAGTCATTGCATGCTATATTTTGTTGCTCATTTTTGATGATTTTTGTCTTAGACCTTCATTCTGTCTTAGACACTCTGTGGAGGGGGTCCACATTCTGTTCCCCCAACCTTTAAGTTGGGTAGTTCAAGCTTTTATGCTGTTCCCACAGTGTCATATAATAACATATCTTTTCTTTTTTGAGAACAGATTTGGACTGAGCAACAAATTTGAATCAGAATTCCCTTCTTCATTAACTGGAAAAGTGAGTGTCTCTTTCTTTCTTTTTTGGGTTTTCAAGACAGGGTTTCTCTGTGTAGCCCAGACTGGCCTCGAACTCAGAGATTGCCTACTTCTGCCTCCCAAGTGCTGGGATTAAAGGTGTGCACTACCACAGCCTGTCGAGTGTCTCTCTTATTGACCTACTGTTTATACATCTCAAATTAGTTTTCCTTAGAAATTAGAAAAATGTGTGCTGAGACTCATTTATCGTCATTCAGCATCTCAGTTACATTTCTTACTTTCCTTTAGGTAGCTCCTGAAGAATTTAAAGCCAGCATCAACAGAGTTAACAGCTGTCTTAGGAAGAATCTTCCTGTTAATGTGCGGTGGTTGCTTTGTGGCTGCCTGTGTTGCTGCTGCACATTAGGCTGCAGTATGTGGCCAGTTATTTGCCTCAGTAAAAGAGTAAGTTGAATTACATCTTTTAATTTATTATAGAAGTGTGAAACAAGTCTTATTTTTACCTGTTTTTTTTCTGTTGAATGATCCACACTGTTCTGAATATTATACAAAAATAATCTTATCTGGTAAAGCAAGATTAGTTAAGTAAATGATCATATATCCAAATGTTATACAATAGCTGTGTAGAAGGTGTTCATAACTTGTATGCATTAGAAATTATGGTCAAAGAAGAATGCACTCTGTCTATGTATGCATTGATTGTGGACTAGAGTGGTGCGGTGTGCAAGGCTACTGGGTTCAGCTCTACCACTTAGCTGTGTGTCTGTGGACATATTTCTTAACCTCTTCAATCTGGTGGAGACGACTGTAAAATGATGATACCTACCTATGATTTGAGTAGAATTGTTGTAAGGATACAATGAAATCTTATTTATAAAGCTCTTAGCTGAACAGTATATGAGAACAGTATATGTCAGCTTCAGTGTTGTTTCAAATACTCAAGAGAAACCGTTTAAAGGAGGAAATCTAGACTTTGGCTCATGGTTTTAGAGATTTTAGTCCATGGACTGCCATGCTAGCTCTATTACTTCTCTGCTTGTCCAAGCAGAAATGTCACAGTGGCCAAGCAGAGCTGCTTGCCTTACAGTTGCCAGGTATCAGAGAGGGAAGAAAGGGACTGGAACAAGATGTAGTCCCTGAGAACAGACCCTACCCATTCCACTGGGTCCCATCTCTAGACATTTGAAACACCTCCCAAAAGGCCATCATAATAAGAATCCATGAGTGGTTTAATCCATTGATTAGGTGATATTCCTTATGATCCAAATCACCTTTCAGTGTACAGGATCTCCCAAGCAAGTGCTCTATATTTTATGTATATGAGTGTTTTGGCTGTATGTATTATATGCACCATGTGTGTCCTGGTGTCTGTGGAGATTAGAAGAGGTTGTCAGATTCCCTGGAGCTAGAGTTACAGGTGCTCATGAGCCTCCATGTGAGTGCTGGAAATTGAACCCTGGTTCTCTGCAAGAGCAGCAGTGTTCCCAACCATTAAGTCACCTCCCTAGTCCCTAACATAGGAACTTTCGGCGGGATACTTCAACCCATAATAGAAGTTGTCAGAAAGGATTTAGTATGAGAGTACCCATAGAGGAAAGAAGATGATTATGGTAAGATAATAGGAAACTCATTTTAATTTTGTACTTTATAGATTCTCTATAATGAATATACACTGACTCTGATTAGGAAAAATAATCCAAAGACTTGATTTTCACTGCTTATAATGAAAAGATTCCAAGATGTTGTTTATAGATATGCCAAAATAATGCAAATTAGGGGGGCTGGAGAGATGGCTCAGAGATTAAGAGCACCGACTGCTCTTCCAGAGGTCCTGAGTTCAATTCCCAGCACCCACGTGGTAGCTCACAACCATCTATAATGAGATCTGGCACCCTCTTCTGTGTACATAATAAATAAATAAATCTTTAGAAAATGCAAATTAAGAGTTGTTTATTTTTTTATTTCTTTAAGACATTGTCTTACTCTGTAGACTTGATTGGCCTGGAACTCACTATGTAGATCAGGCTAGCCTTGAACTAAGAGATCTGCCTGCCTTTGCCTCCCAAATGCTCTAGGCATGTGCCACCATGCCCAACATAGCACCCTTATTGTTATCTTAAAAAATACATATACTTACACATATGAAATTGAAGTAATATTTAGCCATATGTGGTAACTCACGTCTGAAATCTCAGCACTCAAGAGGCTGGGACAGGAGGATTGGAATGCCATGATGTAGTAAGTTAAGGCGAGCCTGGAAAACCAAAAGTGGGGCAGGGAATGGGAGGGCCAGTCAACCAAGTTGCCTTGAATGATTTTCTATGGAAACATTTCATTTTGGTGGCAAATAATGGCAAGGAAATGAAAGAAACCACATAGAATTTATTACTTGATTTCCATTATAAAATTAGGGATATACTCTACTGAAAAATTTGAGCTAATATATTTTATTGATAGAATGGACATGATGCTTTTATAATAGAATTACTTCTGTATTATTTATTTTAATATTTGAAATATTTACATTTCTCTAAAACTTTTTATTATTAGTGTGTTGAGCCAGGGAGGTTCAGGTACTCCAGCGAGTGCATAGAGGTCAGAGGAGAACATTGGAGTCAGTTCTCACCTACCTTTAAGTGGGTCATTGAACTTGTGTGCCTGGGGCTTTTTTTTGCTGGCCCTGCTTTCTTTAAGACGTTTTTACCCCCATAATTCTTGCCAGATTGTCTCTAGGGCACAAAAATCTGCCTTTGGACACAGTTGTACTTGCTGTCTTTTTAGTTCAGGCCCTCTCTCACTGCCTCCACTGGTGAGGCCTTGCTGTTGTTTGAGTGGCTGCCCAGCTCATTCGGTTGCTGTTCGCTGTCATGTAACCCAAAGGATTGATGGGCTTTATCTGTTGCTTCAGGAAGTGTGACCTGTTCAGTCCGTAGTGTTTGGTTCAAGATTTCTATCTGTATATGTGACTAGGTGGAACATTTATTTCATGCATGTAATTTCTTTTTTGTTTGGGTTTTGGATTTGGAGAGGGCCTCATGTAGCCTAGGCTGGCTTCAAACTCATTGGGTAAGCATGACTGTGAACCTCTGGTCTTCCTGCCTCTACCTCTCATGTGCTAGGAGTATAGGCACATGAACTGCTTGATGTATTTAACGTTTATGTAGTGTTTAGTGAGCATAAAGAAATTGCTTAAAAGAAGCTATACATTTCCCTGCCTTGTGTATAAACTATTCTGTTGCATGTCATGGATGTAAAGAGAATATTAGAGCACCTTTGTAAGATGGAGACAGAATATTAGGAATTTCCGGCCCTTTGTCAGAGACCACTTTGGTGGTCTAAAGAAGCCTGTAAATACTATCTTAGTATAATATTTAATATATTTAAAGTATTTAATTAATAAAATATTTTAGACTACAGAGAAACCAATTATATATCAAACAACTAAGATATGAAACTGGAGACCATTTTAAGATTGTTCGAAGAAATCCCAAAATGCTATTCAGTGAAAAGCCGTGACAACAGGCTGGTGATGTGTAAGCTGTGGGTGAATTCACCGAAGGCAGAAAAGGAGGATTTCAGAAAAGAAAGGCAGAAGCTACAGTGCACTCCAGGCCATAACACTCCAAAAAATGTTGGTCAGAGGATGTCAACTCCTGACTGCTATTATGACCTTTTTCACTTGGACCCCTGGACAGACTGATGTCCCATTTCCCTGTCTCCTCAGAACAAGACTCAAGGAGAAGAACCCAACCAAGTGACAACCCCCTTTTAACAGAAGCAACTCAGTCTTAGTCATCACCCATTACCCGGTAGATTGTGTCTCAAGTCCTTGGAGTTTGGAGGGGAAATGATAGGGTTAAAACTAATGCTAGGGAAATACAAATAAGAGTGCTTACCGGTGGGATATGAGACAGCCAAAGGAACCAAATAAGAGGAAGCAGCCCAGAGTTCTGAGAAAAACAAAGCTGGTCTCAGCAGGTTCCAGTTGGCTCCTGTGGAGCCTCGTCCTGAAGAGCATGGTAAGGCACCATTGCTCTTTCCCTTGCAAGCTCATCTGTGTAGTAATTACACTTTTATACGTGGTCCTGCATCTAATGCATCTAATTGTAACACTGAATTGTGGTTAAGGATGATGTCTGTGAAAGCTTCCACCTATTCCAGGAAAGTGACCACCCATAAAGACAGATGGTAGACCAAGATGATAGGCCCAGGTCCCAGGGGTGGCACTTGACCTTTTGTCTTTCCTTATTCTAGAAATACACTTTGCTTGTTCTAAAACAAGACCCCACAAAACAACCCAGGAAACCTGAAATGCTTTAAAACAAATTTATCAGATTGTTCTTTATTAGTGTATACAAATAAGATAGCAGATCCATGATAATGTGGTCTGATGAGAAGACTGATTTCTGAAAGCAATCAGAGCACCACTCCTGTTTGGTCACTAGAGTTAGAGGCAAACATTCATAGCATTCAGAGAGATACAGTGCATCTCAACTAGAGGTTCAAAATCGAGATGTATTTTATTCCTGTCAGTCTTGTGGACTCTGACCCTTCTGTCTCCACATTCCTTATTAAGAAATCTTGGGCTGGGTGGTGATGGCGCATACCTTTAATCCCAGCACTCGGGAGGCAGAGCCAGGTGGATTTAGGTAACTAAACTGCCTTGCTTTAAAAATTCCTTGCTAGCACCCTGATCTACAAAGTGAATTCCCGGATAGTCAAGGCTGATATACAGAGAACCCTGTCTTGAAACACAAAACAGACCAAACAAAACAAAAACCAAAACAATAAACCTCATTGCCAATTGTCCATTGGTAATGCACACCTTTCATCCCAGCACTCAAGAGGCAGAGACAAGTAGATAGGCAGATCTTTGAGTTTGAAGCCAGCCTGGCCTACATAGAAAGTGGCCTGCTAGGGCTATACTGTGAGAATTTGTCTCAAACTAAACAAAACAAAATAAAAGACATTATCAACTTGGTTTTCCCCTTATGTAGCTTTTGTTCCAGAGACCATGTCCACAAACTGTTATTATGTATTACTGTTTTATGTCTTCTAGATTCTTTCTTTTAAGACTTCCTTTGTTTTTGAAAATTATCTTTGATAAAAAATCATTTTTTAGTGTAATGCTTTATAATTTATATTTTATATATAATATAGTATGTGTATATATATATATATATATATATATATATATATATATATATATATATATATTTACAAAGCTATCCATAATCAAGGTACGTAACAGTTTTTTCCAAAAATCTTCCTTGTACTGGTGGTCACTGATATATCCCTATAGTTTTGTCTGTCCTGGAGTATTGTATCAGTGGAATTATCCAATTTATGTAGTCTTATTTATTCTGACTGTTGTTTTAGCTCAGCACATTTGAAATTGACCTATTTTGTTTTATATGTTAGTAGTTTATTCCTTTTTTATTACA